CCGCCCCTGCAAATGTTCACGGCCCGGGTAGACGAGGCCTCAGTGCCAGGGGTCAGTGGTGGCCTTGGCAGCGCTGGGAATGGTTGGACTGGATGAGCTGAAAGGGCTTTTCCAACCTGGGTGATTCTGTGCGTGTGCTGCAGACCTCTCACTGCTGGGCTGACGTTCTCCCACAGCACTCCTGGCAATAATCACAAAATCACTTGCTACTTTAAGCAAACAGGCAAATAATGTCAGTGCTGGTGTTTCAGAGCTGGCCAGTTGAATGGATGTGCCCAGATCTTCTCTTACAGATGCCTTTTCAATCCTTAAAAGCTGTTATTTGGGTGTTTCCACTTATGGGTGCTTTGGGGGATGCAGCCTCAGGGAAGAAGCCAGCAGCTGCGCTGCTGTAGCTTTTGGAGGGGCCGTGGCCTGGGGGATCTCGGTCACCAGTGGCTCCTCAGGAGATGCACACCATTGGTGATGCTCCCAGCTGTTACTCGCTGTAGTAGCTACAGGAATTGGGGTCAATCAGCACTTTGTTCCTGCCCAGAGGAAGCCTCTTGAGATGATTTGTGGTGTGCTGTTAGGAAGCTGGGGTTTTCAAGCAGTGCCAGTTTTCTGTCCCATACAGAACACTTTGGTTTCCAGGTCTCAGATGTGCAATATTAGCAGAAATAACAAGAAGAGAAATGTGCGTGTAGGTAAGTGCTTCTGCCAAGATGCTGTGTGTATCTTCACTGGTACCCTGTTCTGGAAGACCGTGGGCAAACTGGCATAACTTGCTGTGTAAAAGATGGGATAAGGCTATCCAAAGTGTCCTTTATTGTACAGGAATTGCATGGAAATGTGTGTCCCTTGATAGAGGAGACACTTTATCTAAATTGTAGCATTGGAAAATGGAGAAGGCAGGTTAAAATCGGTGTGTTCTAGACCATGAGCTGCTTTAAACTGTGTCTTTGTGTGCAGACATCACTCGTGTTAGGAGTCGAGATGGCTCGTGCTCCCAAGAGCCTGGCCCACGTGAGGTTTGGTTGCCTCTTTTGTAGCTTCTCTGTTGTCTGAGCTCGGGCTGAGCTGATGCTGCACTAATGGACTGTCCCTCTGCAGCTCCTCTGACACCCCTGGGCACGTGGCACGCTTCAGACGTCAGCTCCTCTGCTGAATTCAGTTGCACCAAAAGATTTGGGAGTTATTTGTACTTGGTGGTGCTGACAAACAGGAGTCATTTTGATGCCAGGCACAAGCTGTGTGCTGCTGTCACCTCTGGGATGGTGCTGCAGAGGCAGTTGTCTCTCCAGAACCTCTTGAAGTGACACCTCTTATCTAAACAACTTTTTAAAGTGTAAAATATAAAATCTGTAGTTAAATCGCTGGAGCATTTCAGCCGTGTGATTCGGCACTGATCTGACTTCAAGTCTCCTGTTCCAAGACATGAAGTACTCAGTAGCTGTTCACCCTGGACTGCATCCTGCTCCTGTTCACAGCTGTGCTTGAGCAAGAGGTTGAATGTGGTGGGGAAGCTGCTGCCTGGTTGTTGGTGAACTAGAAGGGAGTCCCCATGAGGATTACTTTTGCACCTGTTCTCATAGATCTCTCTTTTCTTCGAGTATCTTGGTTATGAAGTGCTTGAGAAGTCAGACACCAGATATAAGCTTCTGATAGTCAGCACTGACTGCCTTGAGACTTGTGATTTAAGGTACAGCTGTGGGGGGTTTGCACATATTAGACTCTACTGGTCAGTTTTATTTCTCAATACTGGTCCTTTGTCCAATCTAAATATAAAATCACTGCATGCACAGGTCTCCGTGCAGGTCAGCGGTGTCTGTTGTGTGCAGAATGACAAAGAATTAGGTTTGAAGTGTCAAAGATAATGAGGGAAATGGGATGGAGAGTTTACCTTGTGTTTTATACAGTCTTGACCATGTTGTGATTACTTGGCACTTAATCTTTGGTGGTTGCTGGTGGGAAAGGCAGGGTTTGAGTGTGTGGGTGATGGAAAATGACTTACGCAGCTAAGTGCTGTACTTAACACTAACTAATTTTGCAGTCAGCTTTGCTTTTCAGACAGGGAGGCCAGATGCTTCAGGCTAAGGGTGATTTACTGTAAACTGTACAAATACTGAGATGTCCTGGATGGAGGATGTAAACCAGGGAGGATTATTAGCTTCAGACATACCTGCGGGGGTCAGTTATATGTAGATAAAGGTGCTAAACAGGCCCTCTCTAACCCAGGGGCCCAGCATGGCTTTAGCAGGCTCTGGTGGATGCCACTCGGTGCTCAACAGTTGATTTAATGTCAGATTGGTGGAGAAAAACAACCATGAAGAGGGTGTTTCTTACTGCACTGGGAGGATTGCATTGTGCCCAAGTGCTGCACAATTTTCCGTGCACTTATCTCAACAGGGTATCATGCAGGAGTACCATTATTCCTGCATTATGGATGCAGGGCCGAAGCACAAAGAGATGAAGGCCTGGTATCTCGAAAAATACTGAGGCGTCTTCGCCCTGCTGCTGTAAATGGGAGGTGAGGGATCAAATATTGCTGCAGATCGATGCCTGGTGGAATGCCAGAGATTAGAGAGAGTTTGTGGCTGAGCAGGGAGGTTAATTCTGCTCTCAAATCCCAAGCTAATGCTCTTTCTCTGTAGGCTGGCGATTTGGGGCTGTTTGAAAACGAGCCACCTGGATCCTTAAAAAGTTTGAGGTGTGTTATTTGTGCTCATTTAAGAAAAAAGGTGGATGAGTGACTGTTTGGGGGGTGTAATGCAAAACTGTGTGAACCACTGACATCATTGGGCAGAGAGCTTTGGGATTTTTCATGTAAAAAAGGAGGTGGTGGAGTGGAGTGGCCAGAGTGTGATCCCTGTTCTGCTTCAAGCTTCGCTTCAGTCCCTGGCACACTGAACCTTGCCAGGGCCTGGGCAAGCAAACCCACAAGCCAGGTCTCCATTGCCCCTGCTGCAGTGCTGGGCAGAGCTGTGGTGCAGAACACTCGCCATTCCAGGCATCTGTGATGATGATGGTGAGAGGCTTTTATCTGATGTTGGGTTTATATTGCTTTGCCTTGAGAAGACCTCACTTACATGTTCAAGTGCTGTCTAAATAGCTGTAACAGCCTAATGAATGGGATACTGAAAACCCACGCTGGCAGAAAGGAAACTTTCAGGAGCTGAAGGGTGGGATGTGCTATCCCTGATATCGGAGAATGAGAAACGGGATTGGAGCCAATAGCTGTTCATAACCATCAGCTTTTATGTCCATCAGGATATCAGTGTTCTTCAGAGTCATGAAAATTACTTCTAGAAGTGTAAAAACAAGATCTTGAAATCTGCTTTTACTTGGCTGTCTGTCATGTAAAAGGAAATTGAAAGGATGAGATCCCAGATGAAGCGTGGCTTTTAAATTGCATACATGACACGAAACCCTAATCTTGTTTCAGCCAGTGGCAGGATCAGATGGGTAAAATGGATGCCTTGATCTCGGAGTAGGCAGCAGGCAGGGTCTCTTCTGCTTCCCTCGGTGCCGGGCAGCCGGGAGGAGCTGGATGTGTGTGGCTGGGGTGAGGTGTTGCTCGGAGTGTGCGGGTCCATAGGCTGGTAAGAATTTGATTCCGTGTTTTAAGTGGCAGCTAGGGGCACTGCTTTGGTTGCGGCAGGGTTTGTACTGCGAGTCTTCTGGAAGCTCCTGTCTTAGCAATTGATTATGTTAATGTAGAGTCATTAAATTAAAACCACGTTAAAATAAACCCCGTAAACCACTCATGGGGTGGTTGCTCATCTTCAGGTGCAGTTTGTAGTTACTGGCTAATCTCAGCTTTGCTCCTCTTCCTCACAATAGATGGTAGCTGAGGTCTATGGAGTTTGTTCTTGAGCAGCCCGAGCATCCCCACAGGCCTATAACCTTGTGCTGCTTTTGGCAGATTACAGATGGTGCATGGCGTTTTCTCAACCATAAATACTTCTGGTGATTACTTCTGTCTGTTCCCCTCCTTTGTGAGTTCTGGCAGGTTGTGCTGGTAGCTGTAGCTTGCTTTAATGCACAAGTAGCAAATGGGTACTTGATTTTAAGTTCAAACTGTTAGATAGAACACTTGGGTAGCACATTGGGTCTGTAAGCTGGGAAAGACTTGGGACTTCTTGGAACCCTATTTTAATGTGTTGATGCCTTCCCATGACACGTTCTGGGAGGAGTTGTGCTCTGTACAGTGCTTTGTTCTTGCTTTTGTCAAATTTAAGTTGTGAAACAGTTTTATCTTACTGTATGTTCTTTGTTTTCTTCCAGTGAAGGCGAAAGAATGGAGTTAGAAAGGAAACTGATAGAATACAGGAAGTCGGATGCATGCCTGTAAGCCTGTTTAAAAGCTTCTTATAAGTTATTTTACTTAGAAAAACTTGGGTATCATGGAATGCTTTTAGAATGTTATCTTGAAGGGTTGTTTTATAACAAACTTAAAGTCATATATTAAGTATAATGTAAGATTCATGTCTCTTACTAATGAAATAACTTCAGCAATAACAGAACTACCTGATTCTGTTCATGCTAAAATATGATTATATTGGCAGTAACCATCATGAAAGTTGGTTTGTGCAACTTTTATAGAATCACTGAAGCATAGTTTGTGCTAGAAAGTCCTGGGGTTCTACAGTCTGAAAGCCTCAGGAAATCATAAGGGATATTCTGGGGTCTGGTGCTGCTCCTTGGATTTTCTGCATTACCTGTTAATGTAAATTGCATATACAGTCTGTACAAAAAGACACCAAAGCCTAAACAATAAACCAAAGGGGAAATAAACCACAAACCAAAACACACAGCAACAAAAGAGGGCTGGAAAGTGCCGCACAGAGTGTTCCATTCCTCTCCTGAAGTGGGTTTTCTAAAGTTCATGGGGCAACTTTTCCATCTTGGCTCGAGGGACCAAGGCCTAAGTGCAATACTGGCCAGGCCACTTGTGTGGCTGCCCTGTAATCAGGTAAGGAAACAGCTCTGGCTGGAAGTGAATGTGTGCTTTGGGTGGGTGAGAGCTGGCTTAGATGGATTTTCAGGCGGATGGCTGCTGGCGTGACCTGGCCACACGGCAGGTAGCACTGGCACAAGAACCAAAGGCTGGGAGTGAGATATCCCTTTGGTGGCAGAGTGGATTTAGATCAGCTTAAAGCAGTTGTGTAAGCTTAGCCCTAATGTTACAGTTGGACTTCCAGAGCACGTTCTTCTAAATGCAATTTTCATTTTGATTTAATGCAATAAGTGACTAAAACATAATCCATTTAAAACAAATTTGCTAGAGTTTATTAATATACTTTACCATTTTGAACACCAAGCCCTCTCTTCAAACCTAAAGTTACATAGGAGACATCCTGTCAGTTCTATGAGGTGGCTTTGGATGGTTGTGCAGGAGACTGTGTCTTGCTTTATGGGGGGCAACTCCTACATAAGAGTTAGTACGTATGTGCCTGAAGAAAAGGGGCTGTAATAGCTGAGTTTGGTTTATTTTCGTACTCAAGTACAGTCTCTTTTTTTCCCCCTTTAGAATGAAATTGAAATACATGAAGCTGAAAAACTACTTGCAAGAAGTACATGAGCGCCAGAAAGAAGCTAATCTGCGGAACCAGACCCTGCTGAGGGAGTTTGACCAGTTTGAGGCTCAAATGAAAACTTCAAGCTCGGAGATGGCTCGGAAGATGGAAGTAACTTTGTTGGGGATTTGAAATGAGCCCAGACTGCTGATACTTGCTGCAGTAGAGCCTGCTGTAGCTGCAGAGGTCATCAGCAACCCTTCACAGAGCTCTGTGCTCACTGTGCAGTCTTCTGAGTGAGTCTGTTTGGAAGCAAGGGAGAACAGAGATCAGAAAGATGTGGAAACGTGTTTGGAGCTATAGTGATAATAAATCAGCATTGTCTAGGTTAGGACAAAAAGACTTGAGTTGTAATAGTTTCATAAAGGCTTTGTTAGAGAACTTTGTTAGAGAACTTTCCTTTGTTAGGAAAGCTTTTATTACTTAAAAATAACCAAATATATTTTGCGGCAGTTGTTTCAGGACATATTTTTAATGTAGCTGCTGTGAACACCCTAGATAGCCATAGTTAGTCCTGGCCCTGCTTACTGCTGATGCCACTAATATATGGAGTTTTTGGGAGGTAAAATCTGGGAGGGAAATGTGCTTACACCTGCTGGCGAGGAGCAGGAGCACCTTCTGAAGGGTTCAGCACTGTGTCTGTCCCTCGGCCATTCCCCTGTTTTAACTTGCCAGAAGAGAGGAGGGAAGGAAACAAATCAGCTGTGGGATTTTAGGCCCATGATGTGGTACTGACACAGCCCTGACTTTGTGTGGCTGTCTGGAACTCAGCTGGGATTAGGTATTACTTCTCTGGAATGCTCTTTGAATGAAGACAGGAGCAGTGTTCTCAGGGTGAGCTGTTCTCCTTCCTCTCTTCTGTTCAGGGACACGCACAGCTTGATCCGAGACGGTAAAACTTAGACTGTGATCTTCTTAGAAGGATATGTCTAAGAGGAGATGAGAAGGAAAGAATCGGGCTGCAATGTGAAAACAGGATCAGAAGGCAAAAAAGTCTTAAGTGATGTAGAAGTTAGCAGTCAAATGAGCAAACCTTACTTTAGAATAGTTTTTGCAACTTTTCTTTTAATATGCTGTGGAAACACCACACCAGGAACTGTTACTGGAGCTTAGTCTGAGTAGGGATGTGGAAGCCACAAGGTGCTTTAAGTGGTGTGTTTTTCCTACCGTCTGGTTTGGCTTTCACTAACTGCATTGCTGTAAAGGGCAAGAAACCCTTTGTGCTCAGTTCTTAGGTTAGAAAAGTTCCTTTCTTTCAGTAGCTAAATGTACAACCTGAAGTGTGAGCCTTGGTCCTTTCTAAAAATCATCAGTCCTTTTAACTAAGGATGCTAATGCAGCATCTAGTCCCTTTTGAATCCTCAGAAGCTGTTTGTCAAATCACTGTAATGTGACAACAAGCCTTATACAATTTGTACTGTGGCTAAAACAAATAAAAAGCCCCAGACTTTGGGCATTTATATGAATTGTTGGTTAAGGCTCCCTCTGAAATGCTAGTAGGTTTGCAGGGACATCTGCCATGTGGGAGGTGCTGTCCTTGACTTCAGTGGGGGTTGCTGGCTCATCCCCTGCCTTTGGAAGTAAGGAATCTCTCTGGGAAAGAAGCAGATCTCACAGGGCAGCAGTTCATTTCCACTCTGACAAACCAGTGGCCTGCACACCCATGTTAACAGATGCCTGGCACAGCTGGAGCCCTGCAGTGCCTGGTAATTCTTCTAAGCCTGGTGGATCTGGTGACATTCACGAACCCCTTTTCCCTGGTTACATATAGATTAGAGACTGTCCCTGGGGGCTGAGTGGTTCCCCCTTTTTCTTGATTAAAAGCTGAGCAGGATGGGGGTGTCTTGTGGTGCAGGTTTACTCTGTTGTTTTTAAGGGTGATTTTTTCCTGAGCAGCCCTAACACACAGCAGTGTGAGTAGTGGTAGGTTGTAACACACTGGTGTGAGCCGCGGGTTGATCTGCATGTGGGGCTTCATTCACTGCTTCCATTTTGATGTTTCTGTGCCATCCATTTTATTTTTGCCAGGTGAGACTCCTCGTTCTGAGCTGTTAACAAAGCCCAGGTTACGTATCCTCTGTGTCACGGTTGTGAAGAGCCCCTTGTTGTGGATTGCATGAGAATTACGGAGCCTGTAATCATTTAATCCATTCTGGAAGTACACAGAAAGAAATTACCACTTTTCTCTTTTTCTTTCCTAGAGAGAGAGAATGCCCTTTAGGAGTGCTTTAGCATAACCGTGTGCACATTTCATTATGTGGCTGTAGCCGACAGAACTTCTTTTGTTTCTGGAATACTCACTTTCTTTCCCCGTGTCTGTGATTTGTTCCATAATTTTGGGGAGTATGAGTAAATTCACTTCAGCTTCCAGGGGAAATCCAGCAGTTACATGGGAGTTGGTTTTGAGCATCTTTAATTATGATGTGGTTAGATTCTGTTTCCTGAACTGTCGTGTTTACAGTTTTCTGAGCAGTTTCTGTTACCTGGGCAATAGCAGAGTCGCTGAACGCGCCACTGGAGTGAAGAGCAGAGCTGGTGAAGTTAATTGTTTCCAAGCTGTATTTTCATGCATATTACCTGATGCAGAATGGGTCCTGAAGTGCTTTTATTCAGGGCTGATGTAACTTGTTATAGGGGTTTACAATTACTAACAAACAAGATTAATTATAGGTGCTGCCTGTGCTTGGCTTTTAAGCAGTAGTCCCACAATGAGCACGTTACGTCTGGTCAATTAAACAGTGGAGTGGAGGTGAGGACGGTGTGTGTGGTTGGTTGTACAACACCACAGCAAGTTGTTTTTCATGCTGGTTGTTCCCTAACATCTGCCATATATTTTTCCTTCAGTGAGTTGTAAGATGATGTATGTAAAACAAAACCAAATTCTAAAGCTCACTTCATCCCAAAGCAGCAGAGTCATTGTCTGGATACAGCAGAAATAGTTCAGCATTACAAATACTAGCTGGGATGAAATAAATTGGAGTCAACAAGTTATTCCTATTTTGTAGGATTCTAAATTACATGGACGAATATATGTGTGTTTAAAAACCTGCAGAAGATTGTGTACAGGCAACATCAGTTGTGCAAGGGAGGAGAAAATGGGATTTCTGGCTTTTTAAACATAGCCCTAGTGAAAAATGCTGCCAGGACACTGCGTTTAGAAGCTCACAGTTTGCAAAGTAATATTTTGATTTGTGGTGCTTTGGGGGCTTTTTGGCCTTCAATTTTACGTAATGGATTTGTTCACATTTAGGCATGGTACAGAAGAGAAATTAAACGCGTGTTATCACTTGGAGAGGATGACTTGGCAGCAGAAGGTGACGAGGAAGGGGACCGCACGGAGCAGGTAATGGGAAGAGGGGGGTGTAGTGTGTTTTGTGACACTGATGTGCTGCCGCGTGAGGAGCAGGCACGGCTCTGCAGGCTCCGCTGGGCAGTTGTGCTGCAGCGTTTGTAGTGTGGAACGTTGTTTAGTGCCTGAGTGAAGCAGAACAACCTGGGCAAAAAGTGCAAGTTATTTCAACCAGAGAGCTGGAATTAGAAAGGGGGGAGCTCCAAGTGCTTATATCCATCTCTGTGTTGGGTGTTGTGCCGAATAGTGTGAAAACGGTCTTGACCAAGGAGGGACTATTCTTAATGAATGATGTTTAAAACTGCAGCAGTCGATTCACAGGGTGTATTTCTAATTTTGTGCATTTTGACCTTTCCTCAGAAGCAGCAGAAAGAGATTGCCTATCTGAGGAACAGACAAAAAGACTGACAAGGAATACTTAAATATATTCCGCTATATATCTGTGGTAATGCAGGCTTCTAATCCCTCCTATCTCCATATAAATGATACAGTTCAAGACCATAGCTGTTTTCTTCACTAAAAGCAGTAAAGCTCTTTTAGATGAAATGTCTAAAAACATCTTGTAATAACTTGGAGCATGCTGGCAAGAGTAGTCACTTGTGACTATGTGTGAAACCCCCTCAGCCAGTTGATATTGGAATAAGCAAAAGCGGCAGCATCACTCCATTATTCAGCAAAGCCAACAGCATGCTTGTCCCTTAGGCTACAGCATTCATTAAGAAAAGCTTACTGGGCTGAAAGCTGGGAACAGATGATAACGGGATATGATTTTCATATTTAATGCATTCCTTGGAAGAGTATGTGTGCTGCAGATTGATAGAAGAATCAACTGCTACTTTACTAAAAGACTTTCTAGTTTGCCCTATAGCTACCGATGGAATCATTCAGCCAAGAAATTAACTTTTTCTCCTTTTACCTGCTTTATATATCTGCTAAGCAGGTTGCCTGGCTGCCAGTAAATGTTATTATGCAGTTAAATGTTTGGTATTTAAGACTCTTATCAGAAAAGAAACAGAGGCCACACTATTTTGTTTTTATAGTAGGAGGCAGGTTTTTGGTTTTCTTTCTTCAGTGCATTAGCAGTCGTTAATCTGAGTTTATAGGAAGTTTTCCCCATAGATTAAAAAGTTAAAAACCTTGAATTTAGAGCATTCTTTAAACTGCAATATACAAAGCAATGAACCCGAGCAACCTTGACCTATATAAGCAGCCTCCAGCAGCTTCTGAATCACGGGTTTAATTCAGATGTGTGTGAAAAGGTGAGTTTATTGTTGAATGATGGATTCTTCAATTAAAAGCTGTCAGTGTAGAAGATGTGATTTCTGATCTACAGAAAACTTTACATAGACACTGGAACGTCAAAGGCTTGCCATGGAACTTGCATGTTTAACAACTGTTGGTGGGTTGGGGACAGTATGAGAACTTGGTGCGTACCCAAATTTGTCACTTCATGTTGAACTACTTGCTTGATTTAATTAGTTGAATTGACAATGGGATTGTGGACTCTTTCATCCCCTGTCCCCTCCTTTCTCCTTCTCATCTCTCTCCTTAAATACAAAGGTAGCTGCAACTGAGCTGTGCATCCTCCTGCCTTGTCTTTGGGCTGTGTCTCAGATCTAACTCCTGGTTTTTTGGACTGATTGTGCCTGTTTCCCACCACCTTCACCCCCTTAAAATCTGTTTCTGGTGTCCAAAACACGAGTGTTCTCAGTGGTGTGGCGCCAAGGCAGTCGTAGCGAGCACATGTGGCTGGTGGTGTACCCAGGATGCAAATCATAGAATGGTTTGGGTTGAAAAGGACCTTACATCACCTAGTTCCAACCTCCTGCCATGGGCAGGGACACCTCACACTAAACCATGTCCCCAAGCCTCCATCCAACCTGGCCCTGAACACTGCCAGGGATGGAGCATTCGCAACTTCCTTGGGCAACCCATTCCAGTAGCTTGGAACATCACAGCATGGAACTGGTTTTAATTTACCCACAGTGGTTTCCTTCAGGCTGGTCAGGATGCCAGGGACTCTGTGATAACCTGGTCAGTGATGTGCCTTGGAGACCAAGGAGGGGAACCACAGAAGCAACCTTCCAGAGATGGTCAGTATCCCGGTGCCCTGAAACCACCAGTGTGAATATCTGCTACTTCTGTGAGCCGTGGGATGTGCAGCCTTTTGGACTCCTAATTTTTTTTTCCTCAGAATTCATATATCCAAACACAGTTTGTCTGGAAAACCATGGTTCTCCCTGGAGAGGGCTTGAGCAGTGGTCTTTTGAAGGCAAGTGTGACAGCAATCCAGGGTTGCAAGTTGGAGGAGATGCCCTGTGCAGCAGAGGTCCTGCTCAGCTGCAGAGCTGTGTAACATGGGCTTTGGAAACCTGTGGGCTATGAAGTCTGTCATCTTCATCTTCAGAGCGCTTCCTTGAGGTCTTCTGAAGATTTTGGACTTGTGTACCTCGGCAGAGCCTGACTGTTGGATGTAGGGCGCTGGCACCTCTGAGGGATGCCTGAGGGTGGCAGTGCAAGTCCTAATGGAAGGGACTTTTCTTCTTACCTTTGTTCTCTTCAAAACCACTTTAGTGATAATAAATAAGATTGTATTTGTGGTGGGAGGGAGAAGCGGGGAGCCTGCTCTCCACCACCAAAGAGGGGATTGATTGTAAGTGTGCTTCGTGCAGAGACTGTGTTTAACTCCCAGCTGGAGTGACATGAAATTCAGTCATTTTGTTGACTATTTTGGGCAAGTCTACACACTTTTACTGTTGTTTTGGGTGGTAAAACCAGTACCTGAACCAGCATCATCTGCCACACTTCTGCTTTGAGAATGCAAAGGCGCTGAAGAGATGATTTTTTTTTTTTCTGCAGTCAAAGAGGAGCTTGTTGGCGATGTGTGTCTGCTGTGGCTCTGCAAAGCACTTGTACCTGTCTGAATTGTATTTGTTTTGGAACACTACATCCAGGAGCTGCTAAATCCATAAAGTACTCACTAGATTCATTTTAAAGCAGCAAATCCAACACCCGAAAAGTAATTAGGAGGAACCCGAGAGTGGTGGTGGTGGTGGAATAAGCTGTGAACTTAATCTCAGTAGCAAACCTTTACTCCTCCTTAGAATAACTTCATGGCTTTTTGTTCTGCTGCTTGTTATGTGGAATTTGAGCTTTTTTAATGAAACTTGGTCACAGACTAGACAAGATGCCTTTGTTTCCTTTAAGCTGGGCTTGGCAGCTGACTTTGTATGGTAGGAAGAGGTCAGGCAATGAAAGGGAGGAGAGAGGTGTGGAGGTGACTGTAAATTCTCCTGCTGTGATTTGAGGCTGAACAGTAAGCCCTGCTTAGTATGAACAATGGTATTACGGTAGCTAATTTTGGCTTTGCATAAACTGGTGGTGACCTTTTAGTAGTAGTGGTGGCGGGCGGCCCCACCTCCC